TCTGAAAAAAAAAAAGAAAAAAAAAAGAAAAAAAAATGAATTAAGAATTACTAAGAATTAAGTTAGGAAATATTTCAAAACAATAAAAAACAAAAGATAAGTTAATATATAAAACTTAAAAATCTTACATCCGTCTCTCTCAGCCATGTCAGCTGATCCCGGATAGCGGCTGTTCCCTTGGCTATTTGCGTCAAGTTCTTTCTTCCCATCCACCTTAAAGATCACAGAAAAATAAGTTTGTAATTAGAAAATTTAATAATGAAAAAAGTTAATATTAAATATAAACAAATGTCCATACGTTGCTCCTAAGGGACAACCAGATAGAGAATCAAAGCGCGTGGACTTCATTGTTGTGCGAATGCGAGGGATGCTTTCCCATGCCCAAACCTACACATATCGACCGACATATGCATTTTTGTATTAGATATTAGTCAGAATAAAGAAGTTTTAAATAACAACTAAATAAATGTACCTGAAGCAATTGCACACAGCCCTTCATCCAGCCTTGCCTGGCCTCGAAGGCTGTGCACAACGCTCTGTACAATCCGGCGAGGACTGTTGCACCCCAACTATACCCCTTGATTTTATCAATGTCGGTCAGCATATCCAACCAGTACAGGTTGACTCCGTTCGCCCGCTGGTCGGGGAAGAAGAACGAGCCTATGCACCAGAGTATAAGGGCCCTCGCCCTTTGTTCGTAGACCTCGACGTCTTCTCCATCTGAGAGTTGTCGTTTGCATTCAGTCTCTAATGGGCCGACATTCAAGAATTGGCCTTTAATGGGCCAAGTCTTGGGCTCGTACGCCGGGTCATCTATATCCTGGGATTGGTTTTTAGAAAAAAAAAAAAAAAAAAACGAGCAAATTAGAGATAAAAAATAATAATTAAATATAATTAAATAGTTTCATATTTCTTAAAGATAGAAAATAATACATTTATGCATAAATTTGAATAGTTGAAATTTTAATAAACGAGAAATGTGTGTCACTATAAATATAAAATATAATCACAATGCTATTTTTATTGTATTTTTTTATTGAATTCGAATAAAATATATGAAATTGTAAATACTATTTGAGATAGAATATATACCTGGACATTGGGCCGAAACCCTAGCAAGTCAACACACATGTCTCACCTGTTATCATCCAACTCGGCAAGCGTTGTTTAAGAGTCCTAACTTCATATTAAGTGAAATTAACCATCGAACCGACATTATCCGAAGCTGTACTAATTCGGACAGTGAACCGATCTGGATCACCGAAGACCGAAGTCTTGCCAAACCGAAGTAGGCGCAAACCGAGGTCTCACCTCTTAAAGTAGGTGACAAGGCACCTACGCACCCCCGCCACGAATTACGAGATTTTTCATCATTCAAATGGGACCCACTGATCCTGCCGCCCATCAAAAAGTAGCTTTATGAAAAAGCTAATGCACAAATCCCGAGATGTACGTAAAAAGTTGCTATAAATAGACTGCCTACAACACTTGTAGGGGAAAAAAAAAACTCCGGAACTCATTAATATGCAACACGTAAAAGCCCATAACGGCTCTTCACCTCGGTTCACCTCGGACCGGGGCCATTGTTGAGTTATTTTTACATGCTTTACGTCCAAACCGTTCGTAATAATCATCTTAATCACTTGTTACATCGTTGTTAAAAATCATATAACAACATCACCATTGCTGGGGAGTCGTATCCGTAGTCCTTCCCCAACAAGCTTGTCCATTGACCGGGAAGCCAAATGGGACTTGAACGTCCTGCAGCGTTATCGTGACCTCCCCACAATCGAAGTGGAAGGTATGCGTCTCGGGACGCCACCTTTCCACGAGGCAGGTGATGAGGCTGTTGTCCGTTGTTACCCGGCCCATCCGAAACACCGGGCCAAAACCTGCCATGTCGATTTGCTCCCAAACTTTATCATGCTGCTTCTCCAATGCGGGCCAAAACTCACTGTCATTCCGGCGGTTTGTAATAACGCCGTTACGATAGCCTTGTACATCGTCATATACCGCCTTGGCCCGATGGCGGGTATGAAGATACAGAAGCGATCCGTCAATCAGACCGGGTTGTACATTGTACCGACGAGCCTGTGAGGACGACGAAGATGCCATTTTCTACATTTAAAAAAAAAGTCAATAGAAACCAATTAATTAATTTTACAACATAATAATTAATTACAATAACACAATCATATTCACAAAAAA